GTTACATGCCCTTATTAACAACTTAGTCCCTCTCTGGCTATAAGTTTCCTTGTCTATATGATGGAGAGGACAATACTTTTTTTACTTAGCTCAAAGCGTTGTTATGAGAACCAAATGAGATTATATAATGAAAATGTTCTAATTTAAAACACTGTAAAATCATCTGAGTGTGGTGGCTCAGGGCTGTAACCCCAGCACTTTGGGAGGCCAATGCAGGAGGACTGCTTGAGCCCAGGCGTTCGAGACAAACCTGGGCAACACTGCAAGACCTCGTCTGAACAAAACATCAAAAAATATGCAAGGCGTGATGGTACACACCTGCAGTCCCAGCAACTCAAGAGGCTGGGGCAGAAGGACAGCCTGAGCCCAGGAGGTCAAAGCAGTGATCGTGCCACTGCACTCTAGCCTGAGTCACAGAGTGAGACCACAACTCAAAAAAAGAAAAAACCCACACACACTATAAAATTATTTCTAAATATTAAATGGCTAACAAATAATGCTAAAATCTTTTAAATCAACTGTACAGGTATACGCTTCTAGCTGAACCACCATAGTTCATAAGAACATGACCTTCAGACTTTAGTCTAATACAAGTTCAGTGTGGTCCTAAAAATGACAGGCTGCTAAAGAACATATATCATCTCTGATCAAACGAAAAGAATGAATAGTCTAAGAAAATAATAGACCCATGGTGCTCTACATTCAACAGCCTCCTTCTGAATAGTATGTTCAGTTTCAAGGGCTCTATTTTGAAAGAAACCGAGAAATTGGAAATGTGTTGGCAGGGGGGCAGTTAGCAGGAATAACAAATGTCACCTCAAAGAAGAACAGTTAAAACAACTGGAATGCTGGCCTGGAAATAAAGCACAAGGGGTAAGTGATAGTGATCTTCAAATGGTCAGACTTCCTCTGTGCTGCACTATAGCAACAGTCCCCAACCTTTCTGGCATTGAGAACAGGTTTCACGGAAGACAATTTTTCCATGGACAGAGAGAGGCAGGCGTGGGGGGATGACCGGGCATTAGATTCTCACATGAGCGTGCAACCTGGATCCTTTGCACGCATGGTTCACAACAGGGTTCGTCCTCCAACGAGAATCTAATGCCACTGCTGATCTGACAGGAGGCGGAGCTCTGCTCACCTCCTGCGGTGGGACTGGGTCCTAACAGAAAGCAAACCGGTACTGGTCCACCGCCCAGGGTCTGGGGACCTGAAAACTAGAGGACCCATAAGAGCAACGGTAGAAGTGATAAAGACAAAGATGTCAGCTTAACAAGGAAGAACCATGTAATAACAAGTACAAGTATTCTGTGATGAATGAACAACTGCCTAAAGTAATGTGTTGGGCCCAGTTCCTGAATGTTCAAAAGCAGACACTAAATGAGCATCAAGTAGAGGTGCTACTTTAGGATTTTTAAAAGGACTTCAGGAATCACTTTCAAATTTAAGATTTAGACAACTATCAGAAATGGCAGATGACTAAAGCAGATGGTTGTAGAGGACGCACCTCATTCTGGTATCACAAGAGGTAAGGTTATAGAAAGCGCAAACATGTGGAAAACACCACTTGTTAAAACTAGCAGAGCTCTTTATAAGCAAACCACAGTGCTGTCACTGTCACACTCTTTGCAAGTTTGCTTTGGGCCTCACCTCTTCTCCTATGATCTTTTTTTTTTTTTTTAAGATTTGAAAATATCATTCATTTAGAAAGTAAATTAGAGAGAGATTCACCTTCCCAATGTAGGGGGCCAAAGCTTAAAAAAAAAACATGGTGGCCACAGCTCAAAGAGTACATGGCCGGACCACAGTTTAGTAAAGCAATGGCCTCCTATGATCTTCTAATTCCTCTCTGCTAAATCTTGTGATTTATAGCCTGCGAACTCTTAGAAAGGCTGTCAAAAAAACTGTTTTATTTTTTGAGCCAGAGTCTCACTCTGTTGCCCAGGCTGGAATGCAGTCGCATGCTCACAGCCACTGCAGTCTCGACCTGCTGGGTTTAGGTGATCCTTCTACTTCAGCCTTCTAAGTACTCTACCAAGTACTAGAATTTAGAACTCTATTTTCACTAAATATGATAAAAACTAAGACTCAATATCAAAACTATACTTTCACCGAAAATATCATTTATTTTGTGCTCCAGCAAAGGGCAGGGATATAATTAAGAAATAAGGACCTTTAAATCAACATTTGATACTCACATTATGCTTAATTTTATCAAAAAAAGAGTGACATTTCTAAATACTACAATATAAATCTTTTAATGTATACATGTAAATGCAAAGACCTTAACAGATTTTTATTTGTGGGAAAGAAAGAGGAAACTAGAAAAAACAGTCCCATAAACTGGTAGCCACAGTTAGAGAAACTAACCCTAGGAAGCCTAGCCTATTTTGCCTGCAAAATGAGGATTTTTCCTGTAAGAACAAAATCCAACCTATGTTGAACAGTTAGAAAGGAGGCTTCATTATTTAGAATATTGCTTTACAGGAATCTTGTAAATCTTTTTTTCCCTTATCTTCCATACAGAACTGTATTTTGTACACCTTTAATCAACTCAGTCATGTTTAGTGACTCTTTAGGCCAATACTCCAGTAAAATGTCCATTTACCTCCTTCCTCTCTAGCTTTCTCTTTTTTTTTTTTTTTAAGTTGGAGTCTCACTCTGTCACCCAGGCTGAAGTGCAGTGGCACACACAGCCACTGCAGCTTCGACCTGCTGGGTTCAGGTGATCCTTCCACCTCAGCCTTCCAAGTAGCTGGAGCAACAGGTATGTGCCACCACAACCAGCTAATTTTTTGTTTTATTGTAGAGACGAGGTGTCACCAAGTCGCCCAGGCTGGTCTCGAATCACTCGACTCAGGCAATTCTCTTGCCTTGGCCTCCTGAAGTACTGGGATTGAGCCACGGTGCCCAGCCTCCTCTCTAGCTTTCAATCACTTCCCCGGTCTAATTCTTATTCATATAATCCATTTCTCAACACTTTTTGCCCCTCTAATCTAAAATATAAAGAAGGGTTAGTACAAAGTCCCCTATTTGCCTTTCCAACTACTCAATCTTCAAAAACAAACAAACAAAAAATTACTTTCCATCATTGGGCAAGTTATCCAGTCTCCCTGAGCCCCAGATTCCTCACCTGCAAATTAAGGATAAAAAACGGCTAGCACTCTTTACTGTGTATCCAGCACATGACAGGTGGCAAATTACTGAATGAAAAACTCGTAAAATTGGTAAACATTAAATAAGGCAATGCTATGGTTTGGATATAGTTTATTTTATTTGTCCACACCAAAACTCATGCTGAAATTTCAACCCAGTGTGACACTGTTGGTAGGTGGGGCCTGGGGAAGGTGTCTGAATCACTAGGGGGGGTCCCGCCCTCAAGAATGGCTTGGTGCCATTCTCATCCTTGTAACAGTGAGCTCTTGCCAGAGGGAAAGGATTAGTTCCTGCGAGAGTGTGTTGCTATAAATCCAAGTTTCTCCTAGTGTTTGGTCTCCCGTTTTACCCATGTCCACTTGTCTTCTGACCATCTCCATCATGTTATGATATAGCATAAAAGTCCTCACCAGGAGCCAGGGCCACGTCTTTGAATTTCTTACCCTTCAGAACTGTGAGCAATCTACATAAACTTCTTTTCTTTATAATTACCCAGGCTTGGGTATTCGGTTATAGCAACTCAAAATGGACTAGAAGACAGAGTGTGTAAGTAAAGAACAGTACACCGGCAGACACACTATCATCAAAATCTTCAGTGGCTCCCTCTCTCACAAATTACAATTTAAACCTTTTTGCTTCATTTTCAAAAAAAGCCTGTGGTTATTTAGCCTTATTGTGTCTCTCCAATTTAATCTCCAGACGAGCATTCCCAGTAAAATTAAACCAATGACTTATCTCTTCCACAAAGCAGCCAAGCTTATTTCTGAGGCTTCAGAACTCCATTTCTAACTCCCTCCTCGCTGGAATGCCATCTTCCTGTGCCCAGCCCAATACCAAGTCCTTTATTCATATCTCATCTCGCCCAGAAGCATTTCCCAGCCACTCTTGCTTTTACCTATTTCTCATTTTCTCTAAAATCCTTATACATGTTTATTATTTTGCATTATCTACTAGCACTATCTAACTTTTAAGGGAATTTGTAAATTACACAGTATCTTGTACTTCCATATCCCCTAACTATCCCAAAAGCAAATGTATGAATATTACATTTAGTATAAATTGACTGTTCCAGTAGTTATTTCTGGATAATAAGATTATGAATGACAATCACTTTCTTTTTCATCCTTTCATATAGACTGTAAATAAACCATTAAAAAAAAAATTTATCTGGCATGCTACTACTCAGAAATCTTTTTTTTTTTTTTTGAGTTGGAGTCTCACTGTCACCCAGACTGGAGTGCAGTGGCACGTTCCCGTCCAGCGCAGCCTCTACCTACTGGGTTCCAGTGATCCTTCCTCTCAGCCTTCCAAGTAGCTGGAACTACAGGCATGCGCTACCACGCCCAGCTAATTTTTGATTTATTGTAGAGACGAGGTCTTGTCAAGTTGCCTGGGTGGGTCTCGAACCCATGGGTTCAGGCAATCCACTCGCCTCGGCCTCCCAAAGTGCTGGGATTACAGACTGAGCCACCAAGCCTGGCCCAGAAATCTTATAATGCTACTTCTGTACATCCTAAGATCCTAAAATGTCTTCTAGATCAGGAATGAATTAAAAAAATGAATGAGCGCATAAATAAATGTCAGTGGAATTTTAACAACTATTTATTTTCTATATCGTAGTTTTTATAAAACAAAAATCAGTGTTTCACATATGGTACCGAGGGTAACCCTATTATGCAATGTGTGTGGCATTTTCTGGTTAAAAGTGCATTATTATTTTTCAATAATTGGTATTTTCATGATGATTTTATGCTCAAAACACATAACTTTCTATTACAAAAGTGATACTGTCAATGTATTTGATTATATTTGAAACACCAAATATAGCTTTAAAAAATTCTTACCTAATCCTTTTTGTCCTGGATTCTTTGCAAAATTAAAAGTAAACTGGTAAAAATCCTTAAATCGTCCTGGTTCTTTCAATTCTTGTTCCATCTTGGGTATCTGGGTCTTTAGTTTTTCTATGCTGTCACATCTATATTATAAAATTAAGTTTATAAAACATTACTTTTTCACTATAAATTAAGAACTTAACTTATTTAATCCTATGAGAGCTTATTTCCTAGAACTTCTTTTTAAAAAATCAGATAGCTGGAATTATATATTTTTACATTACATAAATATAAACAAGTATGAGGTCAGCTGGGGTAAGATGTCTAGAGTGATTAAATGCTATAATCACTATTTTTTTAAAGAAATGGGCTATTACTTTTAATGACATAATTTACTGGACTATCAACATGTCAACTAGTAGAAATTAGCTTCGATGAACAGATAAGAACACACAGTAATCAGCATAACAAGCACCAGTTTAAACTGTATTACACACTGCTGACATAGAAATTAATCACATGTCTAGCTTTGAAATTACTGAAAGTATGGTGTCTTGCTTAGACGAGGAAGCATTCCTCTTGAGATCTTGCTTCTTGTTATAATCAAAGTACAACACTGGCTGAAGCTACTACCACCTTCAACAGAATTATCATAAATAAATATTAAGCTTTTTCTGTGTGTGCAAAACATTCAACTTTCAGAGAGTTACAAAGGTTCAAGTACAAAGCCTTAATTTCCTGATAGCCTTAAGGTAGAAATATTCAATTTCTTATAGATTCCACAAACATGCCAATCCACTTTTTTCTTCTTCTAATCATTTTTGCTTTTATTTTCCTTCTACATTGTTTGTAATAACTTCCATATAATTAGTTTATAAATTAAAATTGTGACTGAGAAGCTCACTATATCTTACGTAATTCAGTTTCAAATGAAAAAGTAAAAAATTGCTTCCTTAAGTTCTAAGAAAACTTGTCCTTGCACAGAAAATTCCAACAAATTCAGGATGGGGCTTTGCCTGAGTGTCCAGGACAGTTAATGTATTGCCTCTCAGCTTTAAGCCCACCCTTTTTTGCCCTACTTTGTGATACTGGTCTACAAATCGTTGACTTTCTCCTGCCAGTTGGCTCAATGTTATGCTCCACTGAGAGAGGGCAATGAAAGGCCGGAAGAGGAAGGAGAAACTTTTCTTACCCCAGTGTGTTTTCTGCAGAAGGCAAGGGTTTTTAACATATGGGGAGGTCTCACCAGTGTCCACTAGTGGTGGCAATCTCACAACCCTGCAGCAAGTGGTCTCTGGTCAATTTTTTCTCCACTAGAGTGGAAGCACTACCCTCCACCCCAAGGTCTGAATCTCAGCTTTATGGGAATCTCCTAAGTTTCTAACTTTCTTCCTTGTTTGTTCACATCCCTAAGTCCCAGGGGTGGTAGCAGCTTCCTGCAACTGCTAACTCTGTTATGCCCTGGAGTTTTCTTTTACCCCTTTTAACAGAGCAAAGCAATTCTTTAAATTTTCCCTGTCCAAATTACTGATGTGGTTTTGTGTCTTGGCTGGACCCTGGCTGACTGCAACATCCTAGGCTTAAGAATCTAAATGTCTGTCTTGAAATCCTGACTAATTCCATAATTTATCTGCCTAATGCCATAATGTCTCTGTACCTTAGTTTCCTCATCTCTATAATGGGGACACAAACACTACTTCTCTCACAAAGTTGCTGTTTGAAATACTTAGCACAGTTGACATAAAATAATGTTCAATAAATGCTAATATTATTCAACAATGGCCCACTAAAAACATAAAGAATAGATTGTTACCTAACAACAGACTGAGTATTTCTAATGTCTCATTACATTTAAACAACTAGAGAAGCCTAAGGTAAAACCTCTACACATGACTTTTAACCAAAGACACTGGATAATCAGTTGTCAAGGTGTTAAGTGAAACACACAGTAACTTCTAAGGCAGCTTTCAGATTTTAAATTCTAGGATTTTATTAATTCAGAGCTCATAGCCTCACATTAGAAAATAAATTACACTCAAAAAAGAAAATAAATTATAAACTTAAATTAGTTATTTTACTTTTCCATATTAAATATTAATGCATAATAGTTTTAATACACGTGAACAAACCTCCCTTAGAAGTAAATGATAAAGTATATGCAAATAGAACAGGCTCTAGTAACTATACAGATCACTGGACAAACCCAGAAAACCGTACAACATGGAAACTAACAAGTTAGCCCATTTCTAATTTTTTATATTTTTTAATTTTTTGAGTTAGGGGGGTCTCACTCTGTCGTCCAGGCTGGAGTGCAGTGGCATAGATCATGGCACACCATAACCTCAACTTCCTAGGCTCAGGCAATTCTCTAGCCTCAGCCTCTGGAGTAGCTGGGACTACAGGTGTGTTCCATCACCCCCGGCTGACTTTAAAAAAATTTTTTTTTAAAGAGATGAGGTCTTGCTTTTTGTCTGGGCTGGTCTGGAACTCCTGGGCTCAAGTAATCCTCCCGTCTTGGCCTCCCAGAGTGCTGGGATTACAGGTGTGAGCCACCACGTCTGGCAAGTTAGCCCATCTTTTTATAACACTGTGTTAGTAAATCTTTAAATTTACATTTTAAAATTTATGACATAATTCTGTTTGACAGTAATTCTCATAGTCATGTTTCCTACTGTAACTGTATACTCACCCTAATTCTGTCATGCCGTCCATGAACTCCTGTTTGGAGAACTCACACTGTGTTGCTGCTCTGAACTTCCATGCAATGATCAACACACTGATGCTGGCTGGATCGAGTGCCAGGTCATCACAGAATTGTTGTATGCCATCTATTCCAATTTTATTTTCATCTTGAGGATCTTTAAAAATAACAACACAGTATTAGCGTCATACTTAATTATGCTACATTCCCGAAACTAAAAAGGTAACACTTTATGTTCACTTAAAGAAAAAGATCTCAATATGCCAAAGGCAGGAAACACTGTTACTCTAACAGATATTTTTCCCATGTAATATTTAAAGACACTTTTCCCTCTAAACATCTTTCTTAAGAGTGGATAGCCGGGCTCGGTGGCTCAGCCTGTAATCCCGCGCCTTTGGGAGGCTGAGGTGAGTGGATTGCCTGAGCCCGCGGGTTCGAGACCCGCCTGGGCAGCGAGACCTCATCTCTATAACAAATCAAAAAATCAGCCGGGCGTGGTAGCGCATGCCTGTAATTCCGGCTACTCGGAAGGCTGAGGCGGAAGGATCGCCGGAGTGAGAGTCCAACTCAAAAAAAAAAAAAGAGTGGATAGGAGGGTTATAGGCAGATGAGTACATCATTTTTTTAAAAGACTCATTTATTTGTGAATAATGTCCCATACTTAGACACATTCAGAAATTCAGACTTCCCTATATAGGGACAAGGGATTCTAATATTTTGTTTAAGTATTTTGCTTAAATTAATAGTATTATATATGGACTGTATTTCTTTTTTTTTTCCCCTTAAAGTTTATTTTACCACAAGCAACCACTTCTGGTTTTTCTTTTTTTTGAGTCAGAGTCTCACTCTGTCGCCCAGGTTGGAGTGCAGTGGTACACTCACGATCACCCACAGCCTCAACCTGCTGAACTCAGGCGATCCTTCTGCCTCAGCCTTCCAAGTAGCTGAAACTACAGGCACACACTACCACATCTAGCTAATTTTTTGATTTATTGTAGAGATGAGGTCTTGCCAAGTTGCCCAGGCTGGTCTCGAGCCCCGGAGCTCAGGAAATCCTTACATGCTTGAGCCACCATGCCTGACAATCACTTCTTAACAGTACCAGAAAAACTATAAACTATTCAATCTTAATCTCAACAATGTAAGCATCTGTTATTTAAATTAAAGAAAAAAATCAATATTTACTTATCAGAATGGCAAAAATTTTAAATTATGACAAATAAAAGGAGAAAGAGGCAAGCATACACTGTTCTCAAATATGATTTGCTAACACCTTTCTAAAAGTAATCTGGCAACATCTTTAGCAATAAAAAGCATGTACAGCTTTTGATTCTGCAGCATGTTATACATAAAATACAATCCCATTTTCAGAAAAATGTTGAAAGAAACTCTGTATATACATTTCTGCATAAACATAAAAACATGGAAGGGTCTACACCAGGCTATTAAATACTGGTTATTCAGGAAAATCAATTAGGAAAAGATATACCATCTATTTACCTTTTCTTTATTCACCTATTATGTACTGTTTAACTTTTTTAAAGCATGATTACTATACAATTCCTTAAAAATGTATTATGCAGGTTCTCTTAAAATCTGGTTCAGCTGAGTTTTATAAAAAGGGAGAAAAAAACAAGAGAAGAAAAAGAGGTCAAGAAAATTTAGTGAAAAGGAGGAAAATAATTTCTCCCCAAATCTATTTAAATAATCCCAAGATCTAGAGAGCTCCACTAGACACACCCATCCAATTTATGTTCTATACAGTCATTGATTTCTCACAAGCCTGTAATTTTGGAAAATCTGGTTCAAAATATTTAAAGGCACAAGCACTCACCTTTGTATCTATTGTATAGTTGTTCTAACTTCTTCCTGTCCAATGATCCTTTTACACTCTCTCGTATATAAAGTTCAGGATTTTGGAAAAAATTATCTGTTGCAACATCTAACTTCCAGTCATTTTGAGACAGACAACTTACTGCTGTTTTTTCACTAGATTGTGTGAAGATCATAAACTGACGAACTTTATCCTTCTGCGATGATTTCAACTTGTTCTATTGAAACCAGAAAATAAACTGAAACTCTTTGTAAAATCACATAAGACTAAGTATTTCTATATGACTGACTAAACGTTCTTGGTAATACTTTTTCCCCCATAAAACATTTCAACATTTTAGTTGAAGACTTTTTGATCTATTATTAATGAGAAAGACAAACTTTAAAAAAAATCTGAAATACACAATTTGGTATCGTTTTGGGAAAGAAACTCAGTCAGAGGCAAAGGAAGTTCAATCACCTGCATTTCGCAAGTGGACCCTGCATAAAGGCTCTGGATCCAGAAGGGAAACGCAGCTGCTCCTGAGACCTCAACAAAGCACAAAGCTCCAAGAGGATTCAAAGGAGTCGCGGGGGAGAAGGTGGCATTATCTAACCAGTCAGCAAATGACCTTGGGGAATGGTGAGATTAACACAGATCTAATACCCACTAGATGAAGAATGCAGGGTGCCAGTCTCCCAACACCACCTGCCTTGTTTCCTTGCTGTTTTTCCCAAACAGGAGAACAACAGAGTACGAGTATTCTACATTTCTCCTGATTGTGTTCGGATGTAAGATAATGATCAATAGTGTCCTCATATTTTCACTCAAATTGGAAGACGCACCCTTCCTACTGAGGTAACTTTTAACGGGAGTCTTCCCTTCTTTTTCTCCTAAAGAAATCTCCTCCTTCCCTCAGCCCATGCCTAGCAAGGGCCCTAGCTTTCTCTTCTCACTTGCCCAATGGCATCAAGGGTGCACTGCTCATCTAACCCGATCACAAAGCAGTACAGGGCAAGGAAGTGAGGCCTTCCACTCTCTCTGGTATCAAGGATCGTGTTCTCCCGCCCGCCCAAGCTGGCCTCCCTACAGTGACTCTTTCTCCTTCCAAGCCCCAATACCATCTTTCGGCAAATTACTTGGATCCTTTCATCCTTATGCTATTGTAAATGAAGGGGAAAGGACTTGAGCAGGGCATACATTAATAGATAAGTACTCTGTGGTTTAAGCAATATATCTGAGAAACCCCAAGTCTCAGATCCGGCCCAAACCAAAAGATCACAAACCTCCATTCCCTGAATGGACTGATGAAAATAGACCCAGACTCAGAAGGTTAAGGCATTTGTTCAAAAATCAGGCAGCTCACAAATCTGAGTCTTGGTAATCTTTTCATAAACCACACTGCTTGTTGTACACGTTTATAAAGCTTTTGAGAGTTTCAAGAAAGAGACAACCAATGATACATTTCAGCCTATCAGAGAGTAAAAATGAGACTATGCAAAATCAAATAGGAAAACCTACCCTATCTCTTGCAATATGAAAAATGTTCATGCTCTGGAATCTGATCTGTCAGCCATGCTCTTCTCTTTCTGCAAATATGTTATTATTTAGGATTACAGATTAAAATCTCAACCTCTCTCCCCCATTAAAATCGAGAAATTATAAATTCACTAACTGCTACCGCTCTAATAATTCTAACATGCCTGGACACCAGATAAGTTGGATCCCATTATACAACATATCTCTTGAATGTCTAGGATTCTTCCCTTTTGAAAACTATCTCCTCCTTGGGATTTATTATTCAATGACAACAAATTCGAGGTGAAATCAGATGCCAAGGAAGGTAACTATTCTAATTTAATTTTCTGTTTAACTGCGAGTTAACAAGGAAACCATTCTGGTTTCAACTTTTGTCATTAAAACTTAGTATACCTCTCCCCTTGAATAATACAGCATACCAACATATGCTTTAATCCTCCTTTAAAGAACAAGGAAGCACCAGAGCATCACTGCGATCATCAGTGACCACTGTACAATGTTGAAGAAAGTATACCAACCACAGGCTACATCCTGGAAGATACCTTTTAATTAAATCTGAATACAACTTTTGGCATGACTTTTTTTCCCATTCTCCTAAAAACTGGAGGTGGCAAAATAATCAGGCTTATTTGGGGTTTTATCATACAGTAGTTTACCCAGTGCTCTGTACCCTGCAGTCTTAATCACCTTTGTTGAAGAGAGGAAGGAAAAAACACAGATTAAGTCACTTCTGCAAGCCAAAAAGAGCTGTTCATTCTACTAATGATTTCAGAAAGCAACATAATAGAAAACTGGGGAAACAAAAAGATTGTCTTACCCAAAGTAATAAAGTTATATATGAACTATTTAATTCCATGTCACATAGAAATGATAAATATTTACATGTAATAATATATACTTAAATGTAAACTACTTTAACTGGCTTAAGAATAAAGTTCCAGTATACAGGGATATATATATATATATATATATATATATATATATTTTTTTTTTTTTTTTTTTTTTTCCTGGGTAGGAGTCTCACTCTGTCGCCCAGGCTGGAACGCAGTGGCATACTCATGCCCACCACAGCCTCGACTTGCTGGGCTCAGGCAATCCTTCCACCTCAGCCCTCCAAGTAGCTAGAATCACAGGTGAACGCTACCACGCCTGGCTAATTTTTTTATTTATTGTAGAGAAGAGGTCTTGACAAGTTGCCCAGGCTGTTCTGGAACCCCTGGACTCAGGTAATCCTCTCGCCTCTGCCTCCCAAAGTGCTAAGATTACAGGCATGAGCCACTGCACCTGGTCTCCAGCTAAGTTTTGTTGGGTTTTTTTTGAGTTGGAGCACAGAGGCATACTCATGGCCACCACAGCCTTGACCTGCTAAGTTCAGGAGATCCTTCTGCCTTAGCCTTTGGAGTAGCTGGAACTACAGGCGCACACTACCACACCCAGATAATTTTTTCATTTGTTATAGAGATGAAGTCTGCCAAGTTGCCCAGGCTGGTCTTGAACTCCTGGGCTCAGGCAATCCTCTTGCCACCACCTCCCAAAGTGCTGGGATTACAGGTGTGAGCCACCATGCCCAGCCAATACCAATATATTTCAAGAAAAAGAACTGCAGCTACCATTTTTGACACCGTAAGCTAATGAGTGATACCAGGCAGAGAACTGACAGTATGAACTTCTGCTGCGCCAAGTGGATACTGGCAACCCCATTCCTGCAAAGTCTGGTAAGTACTCTCCATTTTTTGTACTTATCATGCACTCTTACCATTTCTCTGTTAGCTCTCCATGACTAGACTAAATCCTAACATTTGTTTCCCTACGGGGGAGAGTACATCGAATTCTGCAATCTTGAAGGCTGTTCTAGAGAAAAACTGGAGTAGATGATATATATATATACCTGCCCAATTAAGGAGTAACACTCCCACCCCCCTTTCTCAGACCACGTGAGTACACCAGGCAGCGTTCTGATTTTGAGAGTACGGCATCAAAGGTTTAAATTTTTATCAACTTAAGGAAGAGAAAAGGGGTGACTAACTAGAGAAGAATTATTTTATGGGGCATGAGAGGGTGGATAGAAAACTGAGGCAAAAGAAAAAGCAGATGAAATGTTTTCTCTATTTTTACTATAAACCCAGTGGGGATCTCCCCAACAGCAAAAACATGCAACAGCTACAATGATTCAGCACGCAAATGTAATATACGCCACTTACTTCGATGCTTATTCAAAAGGAATAAACTAGAGTGGTCATTAAATAAAATGAGGCTATACAATCTTAAATACTCAACTGTTAGAACTATCTATATATAAGTGTCATCAAATTTTCCAGTTCAACAGTGGTATGTAAAATGCATAAAACAGAACATCTCTTGATTATTTTATGGCACAAAAAGGCGGGGAGGAGAAAGGCTTTTTTTTTAATAGAAAGCTAATTACAACTGTATCAATGATTACTCAAGTTAGAAATACTATTATAATCAGAACAGTAAAATGCACTTATTTGCTCATGTTTCCAAAACAGAAAATGGCCAGGTTATCAAGATGCATTGTTTTATACTTATATAAAGGCACATGTTCACATTTTTTTCCACTTGAGGCATTTAAGAATCACATTTAAAGTAAATGTAGCCAGGCGAGGTGGTTCATGCCTGTAATTCCAGCACTTTGGAAGGCCTTGTCTCTATAATAAATTAAAAAATGAGCCAGTTATGGTGGCACGCACCTGTAGTTCCAGTACTTGGAAGACTGAGGCGGAAGGATCGCCTGAGCCCAGCAGGTCGAAGCTGAGGTGACTGTGAGCATGCCACAGTACTCTAGCCTGGGCAACAGAGTGAGACTCTGACTCAATAAATAAATAGATATGGATGGATGGATGGAAGGAAAGAAGGAAGGGTGTATCTGGAAAAAAAAAATCAGACAAATACTTGGGATATATAGTTACCATTGAACCTACACAGTCCATTGTGAGTTTAGGAATGGGAGCTCAGAAAGGCTCTGCAGCAAAAATAATAACAACAATAATAATAAAGTTAAGAAAGTCTTTCTACTGTATTTTCCAGAGAAAAAATAATGAACATGGAAAATGAATTTCTAGTCAACTAAGCCCTAACAACTACAAAATAAAGATAACTTTGGCCAGGCATGGTGGCTCACACCTTTAATCCCAGCACTTTGGGAGGCCAAGACAGAAGGATCACCCGAGCCAAGGAGTTCGAGACCAGCCTAAGCAACATAGTGAGCCCTCATCTCTACAAAAAATAAACATTTTAACCAGGAGTGGTGGTGCACATCTGTAATCCAGCTACTCAGGAGACAGAGGTGAAAGGATCACCTGAGCCCAGAAGATCGAGAATGTGAGCTGTGATCCTGTCACCACACTCTGGCCTGCACAAGGGAGTGAGACCCGAACTCAAAAAAAAAAAAAAAAATCCAATGAGTGATATTTTTAAAGGCAAAAAATTAACACAGTCATGACTGGCAAAATTTTCACTTCCTTCATACTGAGAATGGGTGAAAATTAAAAGAAAATAAAAATTCTGAAGCTGGTTGCCATAAACTTCTGTCATCAAGCACAAGTGAAACGTCATTTCCAAATTGTTATCTTTTTCACAGTACAGCTGAAAGTTGCAGACATATTCAGTATTTGCCTCAGATACCACTCTGACTAGCTCTCCGTACTAAGTATTCTTATTCAGATTATAAACCCGAAA